AAAGGACTGTACGGATCCTTCCATCCTCTCCAATTGACTAATGTATTACAACATTTGGAGGTGCCACTTAATTTTAAACATGCAGCAGCAAAATCGTATCTGGCATAGTAATGGCAATCCTTAAGAACAGGCAAATTATCTAATTGCAAAACACATCAGATCCCCCAACGGATTAATAGTCCATCCGGCACAGTAAAGCAAGCTGGAAGAGTAACGACGCCACTGAAAGTTAGTCATAAAAACAATTGCTAGCAATTTAGTTCAAAACTAAAACCAAAAAGGACTTGTTTTAAATAGATAATCTCAGTCACAAGTCAAACCAAATCAGTTCAACACTAACAACTACTCCTTGCAACAAATGCACTTTAACTAGATAAAACTACAGATAAAAAAGATGTCGGCGAGGATGCCTGCCATAACCTGAAGGTCACGGAGCTAGAGCATTCTGGCAGCTAGTGATGTAGGCAACAGGGAAAAAGAGGGAACCAAACTATTTGTTGGAAACCTCGGCAAAGTTGCCTCATAAGTCATAACCACATGAACTTAACTTACACTTCAGGTAACAAAAGGTATGGCAAAACACTTCGCAAGAAGATGTTGGCAAGGATGCCTTCCATAAACCAAATAAGGCCAATGAGCTCAAGCAACCAAGCAACTCGATGTAGGCAACAGGGAAAAAGAGGAAGCCAAACTATATCTTGGAAACCTCGGCAAAGTTGCCCCACCAGGTCACAGTGATAAATATGACCTAGTGAGCAGAACTCAAAACACATACGCAGAGTTTGGAACTGCAGAATACATATCCTTCGCTGCAGCATATAGGCAGTATGTATGTTGACAAGTATGCATACCATAAACCTAAGAAGGTCAATGAGCTTGAGCAAACAAATGACAAATGTTATAGGCAACAGGAAAAAAAAAGAGGAAACCAAATTATATCTTGGTAGCCTCGGCAAAGTTGCCTCACCAAATCCCAATGATAAATGAGATCTAGTGACAAAAACTCAAATATATCAGCAGAGTTAGGAGAATACGCATACTTTGCTACAGTATATAGTCAGTGTAGAACTAAATGTTGGCAAGTATGCATACCATAAACCTAAGAAGGTCAATGAGCTTGAGCAAACAATTGACAAATGTTATAGGCAACAGGGAAAAAGAGGAAACCAAATTATATCTTGGTAGCCTCGGCAAAGTTGCCTCACCAGATCCCAATGATAAATGAGATCAAGTGACAAATACTCAAATATATCGGCAGAATTTCAATAATACACATTCTTCACTACAGTTTATAGTCAATGTGGAACTAACAAGCATGTTGGCAAGTATGCATACCATAAACCTAATAAGGTCAATGAGCTTGAGCAAACAATCGACAAATGATATAGGCAACAGGGAAAAAGAGGAAACCAAACTGTATCTTGGCAGCCTCGGCAAAGTTGCCCCACAATATAATGATCCAAAACTATGATTGGGAGAATAGCAGATAATTAAAAAGAAATAAATACAAACTTATATTTTGTAAGTGTTGGCATGGATGCCCATTCATTAAACCATCAGGTTAATGAACATAATTAAAACATCCAACAGCAGGCATGATTTTGGCAACAGGGAAAAAGAGGGAACCAAATGAACTGTTGGTAACCTCGGCAAAGTTGCCATGCTAACTACTGGAACATTTGTAATGATGTTCAAAACCGAAGTATCTAAAAAATATCACTACTTGGATATGACAGAACAATATCACTGCTGATAGCAACATGACTAAAAATGGAAACCAAGTCCAATTATGCAAATCAATGAGACTAGCACATATGTATGACAAAGTACATTCCAGAAACAATTTCAACCAGATCACTACAATCTTTAGTTGGCAAATGATTTGTCCCAGCCATTATATAAGAAAAACAAACAAAAAAATAGAGGGAAAAGGGAGTTGATGTACCCATCTCAGGCAGTCATATAACCCAAAATGTACACAGGTTAAACAAGTGTTGACAAGCCCATAAAGGGTTACACAGATTAAACAAGTGTTGTCAAGCCCATAAAGGCCATTGCATGGAACTGCTATCTATAATCAAGGAAAAAAACATTTTGCATATGGATAATATTAATATGAACTAGCAGTATACTCCCTCCGTTCCCAAATACAAGTCTTTCTAGAGATTCCAACAAATGGCTATATACAGAGCAAAATAAGTGAATCTGCACTCTAAAATGTCTACATACATCTGTATATTGTAATCCATTTGAAATTTCTTAAAAGACTTATATTTAGGAACGGAGGGAGTACTTCACAACGGACGGGCTTACAGGTTATGGACGGATGACTTAGATCACACGAACAAGTTTGGCCTTGAGGCCTTGAAGGTCGTCTGCAGTTTCCTACTTGGTGGCCTGACCTTCTGGTAGACCAGCAGGAACCTGATGTCTGACTTGTGAAACTGCTTAGTGTTATCACGCTTGCAGATGTTGGGAGTGGACAGTGGCTGTCTTGATGATCTGGATGCAGCACAGTGGCGAGAAGCCATCTCAGTGTACATCTGCTCGACCGCGCCATTGAGGGTGGTGTCGCTGTACTCGTTGTACATGTTGTGGTATCCTGTCCTGCTTTGGTAACGCAGCCAGATACCAAAGTTCTTGATTGTGGTGGGGTTCTTCTCAAAAATCTACAGATTGAACAAAAGCAACACTAAGCCAGACATGCACTAGAAGCCATTGATTGAATTCTTTTACAGCAGACGCATGTAGCATTTTGACCAACGAGAACAGTTGGTGGTACACTAATGCAAATAAATTAACAACGATCTCACACTCGGATATCCTTCTAATGGCATTGCCAAGTTAGTACGATTCAACCACGGGAGTAAACTAAAATGAGCGTGGAAGAAGAACTCACCTCGTTGAAGGCGAGGATCTGGCCGTTGCTCTTCTTCACGCATTCTCGAGAGGCTTCCAAATTTGAATCATGTCCTCACCAGAACTTGGACTTGGCGCGGACCTCGTTGGTGGCCCAGAGCTTCATGCGGTAGATCCTGGGATGATCCTCGGTCGGCGTCGGCAGGCCCCTCCCGACCACCTGGTACTGGTGGAACTGCACTGGCGCGAGCGCCAAATGGTCAGTTCAGATCACACGACGAGAAATAATCCCCGTGATAGCGGTGCGTACGAGAAAGAGGAGCTCACCCTGAACGCGACCATCCTGGCCGGAGTTGCTGAGGTCGCCGTGCGGCGGTGGGGGGCGACGGGCTTGCTGCCGTGCGATGCTCCGAGACGGCGGCGGCGCTGCGAAAGGGTTTAGGGTTCGGGGGGATTTATAGATTATGAGCAGAGTGCGACGAGGCCGAAGAGGCGGGTGAAGGACGAGGCGTAAAACCCTAGTGGGCCAGGAACATTGTGGGGTGGGTATATCATCGTAAGCCCAAAGGCCCAGCAGGTCTTTTCTTTTCTTTTCTTTTTCTCGTGAGGTGATTTCGTTTCTAGAAAGGGTTTAAGGTTCAAAAGGTGAAGTTACCGATGCAAGAGTGTGAAGTTGGATACTGTTTGATCAAGGGCGATGGTTCAGTGTCGGATGAAATATTGTCATACGTACCGTGGTTAGAGTGATGATATAATAAACAGGTTACGCATTACCATCAGCCAGAGTTTCTTACACCACCGTAGACATTACATCAAGGCAAGCATCATGTGATCAAAGATTGATGCACCTACGAGAACAAACAATGATGCATCGATCCCCAAAGACAAAACAGGCAGCGATCAAGGTAAGAGAAGCGGCAGTCAAAACTTCAGTTCGCATAACAAGCACGGACGGAACTTCATAGCCTTCCCTCTGCCCTAGGATAACAGTCGCAATCCGCCAGACGACAATCTACGGGGCTGGCCAAAGCGCCACTGGCTGACTGGCTCCTTGTGTCGGCTGCAACTGCTACACCAAGACAGAGATACAGCCTAGAAAACTTAGAGCAAGTATAATAAGATGACATAAACAGGCTATAAGGACTAAAATATTCTATCTTTGCTTAGTTGGAGTAGTGAAAAGAGGAGAGAGAAAAGAAGCAAACTGTTCATTAGTAGTCAGCTGCAGTACGAGCCTCAGGACAATTTGTGAGGTTGTAAAGTAGGCCAACTATTATTAATAAAGTAGTACATATTTAAAATTTACTGATGTACATGGCAACTCCTTATAACCGATTGTTGGTTGTATTGTTAACCATGCTCTTACCGCGAACAGCACCACAGCCACCCTATGGATGCCATCGCCAACAACACACGAACACAATAGTAAGTTAATATACACACAAGCACTGAACTGGCGTTACCGGCAGGAAGGTCGGACAGAAAATATTGCATGGATAAATCACGACTGTCCTGGCCTAGTTTCTTTTTAACAGCAGATGTGTAGGCTAGTTACTCGTAGAAACCTTGTGGATGCCTGACCTTCCCATCTCCAATTCTCGATCAGCCCTAGAAGCTTAAAACTTTTCTAACCTGAAAATAACACGGTTAATTTGGTGAGTCCACCAAGAATATTTCATCACAATGCGTTGAATATAAGATTGCTGTCCTGTGCTTGCAAGTTGCAGCAGGTTCCAACAGGATAACAAAGGCTTGCTACTGCTGAACTGGATTAAAGTAGAAAGTAGTAGTTCCTTAGATCATAAGATAAGAGTGTGTTTGGATGAGGGGTCCTTTTTAGGGTGTCATTCAAGCTAAATACTGAAGCTCCTCAAAACAGTACCCAACACTCAAATATCCCCTGAATCTCAAAAGATAGTTCTGAATGACAGCGAAGTTACTAATAATAAAGCATCACTCAAATGCCAGGACATATAAACCAGCTTAGCTGAATAACAAATCAATTAGTATATCAATTATGTTATCATGTTCAGCCTAACTCACTTGGGCGGGACGCGGGTGGATATACAATCACACCTCTCGGGTCCAGACCCTCATGAACAGTTTTTTTCTCTTGTTTTCGTCTTAGTTTAGGTTAGTCTTCAAACGGTTTTTTTGTTGACGCATGGTAGATGCCACTGGTGTGGTAGGAACTGCTTTGCGCCTTCATGACATTCTTCTTCTAATATAGAGCGACAGGCATTTTGATGCGCGTCTGTTCGAGAGAGAGAAATAGAAGATGCCACTTATCCTACATGTTCCTTCATTTTGTTCTAACAAGATAAGAAGCTTACACTTTACGTTATTTCACAAAATACTACTCCCTCCAATACATATTAATTGCCACAGCTTTAGTACAAAGTTGTACTAAGGCCGTGACAATAAATATGTATTGGAGGGTACTAGAGAAAGAAAGAACACACTGTTATAAATTGGAGGGGCCAAAGCTTACTTACGTTTCAAAATATATTGTCTCCTCCGTGCCCGAGTGCTCCGTCGAGCAAAGTAGAAAACGAAAATACATACAACAAGACCCAGTTCAATAACTGCAGCCATTCTTAATCCTGTAAACAGGACAATTGAAATCACGTATAAAAAACATATTCTGCTCCAGAAACAGCTACAACTAGCATTCTGAAGGGAAAGTGCCTCTTAGCTTCTGGATAAGATCTTCTATGTCAAGTGTATGTTTACTAGAAATTATGTCTGTTCCACCTAAATGTGCGACTGACAGCTCACTAACACCATTGTCTGTCTCGGCAGCATCATGTCTCTTTTTACATGTGTTCGGACAATGGATGCCACTTTCATACTCATCACTTCCATCACAGCAATCTACAAACATAGTAACAGTATCAAAATTTCTGCTATTAACAAAACAGAATCCAGTAAATACTAAGTACAAACTAGTAAAGGAAGAGCATGATATGATAGTCTGCAAAATCAATAGCATACCGCAAATGTTATCATTCACAAACGAAGAGAACAAGATACGAGGAAGATCTCCAATGTTTGTACAATAAAATTTGCCTTCTGGGCAAGCCGAAGTGCCTGTGTAACGCAAATAATGTGAATGACAACATTACATTAGTGAATATCTTGGGCAATGCTGTTAGCATCAAGTGAAGAGGAAAAATTGTTGTCTGGCAGAGTGTTCTAAAGTGAGCATTCAGAATTACAGGAAAAGTAACAGCGAGGCCTGCCACAATTGCAGTTAGCCCAACAACAAAAAACGCAATTGATAATGTGCACATGTGGTACTAGTGTAATGCATAAAGATCTGCAGTAGTTAGAGCTGGCCTAATAGCTCATACTGACCTAAACTGCCGGAAAATAAACTGCAAAGTACTGTCAAAGTTATGCATTTCACTCTTGCACTTAGTTTGGTGAATTGCAGTTTCAACTGGCGTAACTAAATCCGCAAGACAAAAGCTGGCCTGCTTTAATCAATTATAGTAGTACCTAACCGCGACATTCCAATCAGACGTAATCACATCAGCAAAATCGACCAGATCTACACAGTTGGGGACTTCGCAGTCAAGTTCAGGCAAATCCAGGGCAGATAGGGAAAAACCTGGCTCGTCGGTTCCATCGGTGCAATCGCAGTATCCATCGTTGAGCCGGCTCCTGGGGAAGGAGCCCGAGCCGTCCCTGCAGGCAATCACCTGCGGCGCGAAGTACGCCTCGTCTGCAGAAACAATTTTATCAGGATGAGAGGAGGAAATAGATGCGGAGGAGGGGCGCACAGGCATCTGGCTCGTTCACCCTGGGGAGAAACTCCGACTAGCGGTGGCACGGCGTCGGCGGCGCCGGCGAGGAGTAGGAGCAGGAGAGTGGCGGGAGCGGCGGAGGAGACCAGGCGACGACTTTGTTGTCGGGGCGTCATCAGACGTTGGATGCGACCTTCCATTGGTCCGGATCTCAAGGAGTCAGGGCAACTCCAATTACGCATTTCATCCGCTGAGTCCGTTTGGATCCGTGTGGGTACAAGACTGCTCATAGTGGGGAGTAAAGAGTAGTAACTTCCGATGTTACTAGTTTATGTTACTATCTTCATAGTGGGTAGTAACATATGAGTGGTATCATGAAAAAGTTTATTATTAGGCTATAGACTTAAGATGCCTTGAAATGTGTGATGTTATAGTAACTAGCTAAGTTACCACAAACCCCTCTTTCCTCATTAATTAGCTGTCACATAAGCAATTTTATATTGAAATGTGTGATGTTACTAGTTAAGTTACTTCCCTTGTGACTAGTCTAAATCAGGACCCAACACGACGACTTATTTGACAATTTTATTTATTTTATGTTTGCGTGAACGCAAATTTAAATCAAATTTGCATCCACACGGATAAGGCTAGTCATAGGTCATATTTGGTTCAGCTTTTATCGACAGATTCCGCTGTCGCGCAGTAGAATCTGAACCAAAGGGCGAAGCAGTAACGTGCTTTCCAAAATTTGATTTCGCTGCGGGCCAAAATCTGAAGGAAAAAATTGTATCAGCTGGTTTGCCAAATGACCTATATTTTTTCACATCAGATTTTCCACAGCTGTTTTCCCATAGCAGATTTTTCACAACTGCTTTTAGAAATTCACAGCCGAACCAAACATGACCTATAGTGGGAGTAACTTAGAGCAACTTCAATGAGACGACCCATTTCGTCCGCCACCGTCCGTTTGGGTCGGCTGGACATAAAACGCGGCCCAGCGCGCCGACCCAAATGGACGTGTGTCCGCGGGCGACCCATTCCCGGTCCATTTTTTGAGCCGGAATTGCGTCGGAGCAGACAGGCGACGGACGCGCGCACGCTCGCCTTCTCCTCCCCGGGGCCCGCTGGTCGGTGGCACATTGGTATAAAATGGACTCCACCGACAAGTTCTTTTTACACGATTTCCTTTGCGACTCCGACGATTCGTCGTCCGACGACGAGGAGGAGATATTGGATGTCGTGTTGGTCCATCACCACCTCAACAGCCAGCGGCCGTTGTTCCGTGGCTCCATTCCGGGCCACTTTCCAGCATTGAATCGCAACCGAGATAGCGGGCATTTCCTTCTTTAGAAGGACTACTTTGATACAACAAACCCGTTGTTCAAACATTAAAAATTTCGTCGTTGTTTTCGCATGAGCAGACATCTTTTCAACCGTATTAGAGAGGGGGTGGCCGGCTATGATGACTATTTCGAGTGCAAAGAGGATGCCGTCGGCAAGATTGGTTTCTCCTCTTATCAGAAATGCACTGCCGCCATCGGAATGCTTGCATACAGAGTGCCCGGTGATCTCATTGACGAGTACGTCAGTACGAGCGAGTCTACATGCCTAGAGTCTATGTATAAGTTCTCCAAGGTTGTTGTTGTGTTTGGCCCTGAGTACTTGAAAGAGCCGACAACTGAAGATACAACCCGTTTGCTGGCGATGAATGCCAGTAGGGGCTTCCCAGGGATGCTTGACAGCATAGACTGCATGCACTGGGAGTGGAAGAACTGCCCTTCTGCTTGGCAAGGGCAGTATAAGGGCCATGTCAGGGCTTGCACTGTCATACTAGAGGCCGTGGCGTCTCAAGATCTCTGGATCTGACACTCTTTCTTTGGCATGGCTGGATCACACAATGATATCAACGTGCTTCAACGCTCGTCGGTGTTTGCTAGGCTTGCCAAAGACAACAGCCCACCGGTGAACTTTACTGTCAAGGGCCACAACTACGACAAAGGATACTACCTGGGTGACGGTATCTATCCTTAGTGGATCGCTATTGTCAAGACAATACCCAACCCTGACGGAGAAAAGAGGAAAATATTTGCCCAAAAGCAAGAGAGTCATAGGAAGGATGTTGAGCGTGGCTTTGGTGTTTTACAATCTCGATTGGGCATCATTCGGTATCCTGCTAATACCTGAAGCACGCAGAAACTGTGGGAGGTGATGGCTGCTTGTGTGATCATGCACAATATGATCGTAGAAAACGAGCACCCGAAACGTCTGTACGGTTAAGGGTTTCAGTTTTAGGGTGAGAATGTTGTGCCTGAGCATGGAGGAGCGGCAATGTTTGAACAGTTCACCCCAATTCATCATGACATGCGTGATTGGGAAAGTCACGTGCAACTGCAAAATGATTTGGTTGAGCATATGTGGGCTCATGTTGGCAACCAATAGATGTATCTTCTTTTATTCATTTGCAAAACTATGTGAAACATTTATTTTTGTATTCGGCTTGTAAACTATACTATTTTATTCGGTGACAATATGTTTGAATGCAATTCATCAATGTAAATTAGGGCGGCCAGCCGGCCAAGCCGGCACATATGGGTCGGCGTGTTGGGCACGCTGCCGACCCATATCTAAAACAGGACGGACGCCGGGTGGGCGGTCGACCCAAACGGACAAAAAACGGACAAAATTGCCGTCCGTTTGGGTCGCCCCATTGGAGTTGCTCTTAACAAGTAACATAGTGCACTCCAAGAAATTTTTGCTTATGTGGCAAGTAATTAATGAGATGTGGTAACATAATATGTTACTGTAACGTAACGCTTTTCAAGATAAGATGGGTCTACAAGCTAATAAATGAAGCCATATAAGATACTACTATTATGTTACTTTGCATTATGAAGGTAGTAACTTAGGCTAGTGTTATATGCATGACACTAGTTTAAGTTACTCCCCACTATGACCATGACCGGCCTAAGAGACGGACGCGTCGCATGTCCGCTCGTATTCGTCCCGAGCCCATGCGACAGCTACCCAACCACCACATGACGGTCCTTTTTAAATGACACGCATGGGGTGCCTCGAAAGCATGGCCATGACGTCAACTCTTCCTCTGAGCGGCGGCACGTGGCACCCTGCCGCCCGGGGTTGCGTCCTCGTGCGCGCCCGCGGGTATGTGCTTGTCGCGATGTGACAACACTACTGGTAGTAGGTCATCCATGTACCTTGGCCGGACGTGCACCTACCAAACGGCTGGTATTTGAACCTGGAAAGGGTTCCAGTGCTAGTCGTTCTGGCCTCTGGTTGCGCGGGGGCTTCAAAATTGTGTCTACATCGTTTGGAAATCACCCGAAGCGGTATTGAGGACCGAACTAATTCAGTTTTATAAGTTTTTTTTTGAACTTGGAACATCTCATTCCATTAACCACTGTGTCGTGCCAGATCATTGGGAACCAAATCATGGATGAAGGTGGGTGCATCACCCGGCCAAACGGCTTGGGGCTCATACACCATCTTCAAATCATACGTTGCTAATGCATAAACAACACTATTACATGCCCGAAGGCAATAACCAACAGAAAAAGAATTAAAGCGCAGCATAGCCAAGGCTTTAATCCCCCTAAATAGGACACCATTGGGCGCAAGATCGAAACTCTTAGAATTGTTAACGGCTTGGACCAGCAGCTGTGAATCTGTTTCGACCATGACATTGGTCATCCCCCATTGTATGGACTGATTCATAGCCTGGACACAGGCCACTGCCCCCGCTTGCAAACTATCTTGAACATGGTCCATCTTACCCGCTCCTGAACCCATTACTTCTCTCTATACATCTCTTATCAGAAAGCCTCAACCTGAGCAACCTCCTCTCTTCAGATGAGCCACAAAGCTGCCATCAATGTTAATTTTCAGGACATCGTGTGGAGGGGGGCTCCCAGCTCGAGCAGGTTTCAAGCTTGCTTGCCAAAAAATTCAAGAAATTTGGTTTGATAAGTTGATATACCAGGGTTTATTCATTTTAAAGTTGAAGAACCATTTATATACTTTCAAAATAGTTCAGGACAAAAAATATTCCCACCACCTTAAAAAATGCCAGCCAGGTATACACACCCTCATTGCACAAAAATAAAACACACACGTTGCCAAAATGAAAAGGGTGCACTCCCCTTGACCAATCATTGTCGGAGCAGGCAAAACAACTCAACAGGTCCAGAACCGTTGTCCTGCCTGTCTATCCCTTCGAGAACAACACTGGAAATGCAACACATTGGTATCAAGCGTATAAGTTATCTGATTACTGCTCTTCATGGAGTCAGTTTGCATCAGCAATTCTGCAGGAGTTTGATCTAAACATGCATCGTGACTGCATGCAGGATTTGCTAGTGCTGACACGGGTGGGATCAGTACAGGAATAATGCAATAATTTCAACCAGTTGGTATACCAAGTATGGCTGTATGAAGGGGCTATGAGTGAAGCATTGCTGGTAATTTAGTTTGTTTTAGGACTAAAGGAAGAAATCATTCTACCGTGGAAATTCAGTTATCCTTGTCAGTCAACACAGCGGTCGAATATGCATTGGTGCAGGAGGCAATGTTGGAGAGAAACAGAGGTCAACAAGGGCGTTTTCATAGAAATGGAGGATACAGAACATAGCAAACTTGAGAGCCAATACAGAGAACACAATTTGCAGTTGAGGAGATTTGGAAAGCCAAACAAATCAAGGATTATTGAAGGGCCAATGGCCTCTATTATAGTCGTGGAGAGAAATATGCTCCTGGACACTTGTGCAAAAAAATGAAGTGCGGGCCAAGGCTGCTGCTATCAGTACAAAGGACCAAGTGTATTTGGAAGATGCTATGTTGGATGCCCTGGCTGTGGAAGAATCTGCAGCCGAGCTGCTGCATTTCTGTCTATTAGTGCTCTGTCTGGTTCACAAAATCCCAAGACAATTAGATTAAGAGCCATGGTGGACAATAAGGTCATGCTCCTGTTGGTGGACTCTGGCAGTTCACATACTTTCATTGACCAACTGTTAGTGGATAGGCTACAGTGTACTACTACTGCACTTCCTGCCCCTCTGAAAGTGAAAGTGGCAACTGGTGAGTTCATGTAGTGTGATCAAGAAGTCTAGGGGCTCAAATGGTGGATTGAGGGTCATACATTCACTAGTGACATGAAGGTTGTTCCCTTTGGAGGCTATGACGTCAT